AAATTGTCCTAGTGATTAACTTGAAGATTTAGGTCTCTACTTATTAAAGTAGGTGACCATAGTCCTTCACAGCCTTGTCTAACCTGAATAACCCTTTAGGTTGTGCGTTAATTTACAACTCTGGAAAGTTCTTAGGATAGGGGAGAAATTAAAGGAATAGTGTGGATTCAGGGTTTCAATAAAATTCACTTTCCCTTAGTGCCTACAGTAGAGGCTGTGTTCTATCAGGGTGGTGGACTTGGTAGGATGAGACTTGGAAGAACACAGCATCTCTGCCTTTGAGCACAGGTTGAGCACACTATTCAGCACCTCTTTCTATTTCCTTGGCCTGGTAGGGATATGGAATGGGATGGGACTGGAGGCCATGCACCCAGTGTCTCTATGACTTGATGAAACCTCCCATGTTTTTTAACAACTGGTTGACAACCTCCATTGTCACTCTGTATTCTTTAGAGTGCCTATGAATATATGTCAGTTTGCTAATAACGTCAACCTCAGTGTTTGTCAAGTTTTCAAAAGAAAATCAGTTAAGTGAAGTTTGATCATGGTGTTCTTTAAAGTAGCCATGAAATACATGAGGAAACTGTATGAAGCCAGAACACAGCAGGAGTCAAGTTTACTGAGTGTATCAGCTTTCTTGAAATCTTGCACTTTAGGTTCTCTCATCTTTCTGTCACATTCCTCTGCCCCTGTCCCCAGTCTCAGTGTCTGAGAATCAGTTCTCTCCCTTCTAGTGCCTTCTTTGGGGTATGACTGCCATGTTACTTAACTATTCTTAGCTCTGAGAGTGGGGACATATCCGTTTGCATATCCTCTCTAGTATAGGCAGTTTCCAATTCATAGAAGATGGTTCAATATACAATTAAGGTGAATTAAATACCTGAGGATATTTAGGGTTCTTTGTAGAAATTTTAAGTCACACAGGATATCAGTAATGTACTTAAAATACTACGTTTTGGATGCATTTCTCTGAATTCATGATTCCTGTCATATTCCTAATCTGCTTTTCCTTAAGGGGATGCACCCTAAATAATACCATTTTCTAAAACCAGATTCCAAGCCCTGGTTGTATTAGTTACTTCTGTGTAGCTGTGACCAAAATACCATAGAACAACTTGAAGGAAGGTTTAGTTGGCTGGCCCCTATTTAGACAGAACATCATACAGTGGAGTGTATAGTGAAGTTCTTTACTCATGGTGGACACAAAGCAGAGAGAGTGAGGAAGGGACTGAGGACCAGGTATCAGTAACCTACTTTCTCCAGCTAGGCCCCACCTCCTAAAGTTTCCAGAACCTCCCAAAATAACACCACCAGCTGGGGCCAAGTGTTCAACACATGACCTGTGGAGGCATATTCGAACCTTAGCACTAGTTTTAGTGACTCTGGCCAACCTGCCCTCTAGTATACCTCCCAAATTGAAGCATCTTGTAATTATGCCAAATTTCAGTTGTTTAATAAACTCCAGGAGAGAACTTGTGAGTCATACTTATCATTTTATGTCCAGCCCCTAGAACAGCTGGCACCAATTCATTTGTTTGTGAACAAATGAATGACTTTAAATACAAAGGATATGGTGGCCTTGGCATCTGTGTGTAAAGGGAGCAGGTAACTGGGACGGGAGATTAAGCAGTGACCAGGGCCATACCTTCCCAAAGGAGGTAGGTCTTGTTTATTTTTGCTTTGGAATTTGGGTGTTCTTTGGAAAATGGACTTGTTTCCCTCTATTTCTAACTTATGCTTCTGTTTCCAAACCTTCTCTACCAACTCATCTCTAGTCTGCGCCTCTGAATAAACTTTATCATGTGGTTTCCATAGATTCTAATTGCTTTAAAATAGCGTCTTTTAGCCAATGTCAGCTGATTTTTATTAATGGCATTTTGTGAATTGCTAATACTTCAGAAAACCATCCTTCACAATGTTGTCGTGTTTCTTAGGGGGTTCAAGGCAGCAAATAAAGATGAATTTTAGAAGAAATCATGGTTAATCAAGTTGGTTTAAAATGAAAAGAATTCCACAGGCACTTAAATGATCTGGTCCTCGGGTTTGGTGGTAACAGTATTGGTTTGGTGTCCAGTGCCCAGTGCAGCAAGTAGGCTGTGGTGCTGAAAGACCTCGGTTCCAGTGTTGACTTTGCCACTGAGCCAGTGGCAAGGGAAAGGGATGGTCCTCTTTCCCTTGCCTGACCTTAGTTTCCTCATTTGTGAGAAAGAGATAATGCCTATTTCTCAGTATGATTATGAGAACACAGTAACATATGGAAGAGTGCTTTATAGGCAGTAAAGTCGTGTCCCCAATGAATTATTAGCACCATGATGACTCTTTAAATGGCAGGGCTGTTACCCATGCTAATGGCTCTTATCAGAGGTCACCACTAAGTAAATGTTGAGTAATGCAGAAATATTTTCAGGCGACCTTTGAGGCCTAAATGGATCTGCTTTTGCTGTGAAGCCTTTCTCAAACTCATAACCTTGGCTTGTTTTACTTTTTTATTTAAAATAAGTTTTTTTTTGGTGGGATGGGGTTTGAACTCAGGGCTTGTTGCAAAGCAAGCACTCTATCACTTGAGCTATACCTACAGTCCATTTTGCTCTGGTTATTTTGGAGATGGGATCTATTAACTATTTGCCTGGGCTTGCCTCGAACCTCCTCAAACCTCAGTCCTTCCAATCTCAGCCTCCCAAGTAGCTAGGATTGCAGGTATGAACCAGGTATGCCCAGCCAGCTTACACTTTTATGACAGTCAGGACAGGTGATTTCTACCTCTGAAGGAAGGAAGGAAGTTGAGCCTGAAGGTGAAGTATGATGGGAAGGGCAGTGGGGGAGGTGTGTGGAGGGCTGGAAGGAAGAGATGTATAGGAAGAGGCCCCATGAGGGGCAGCATTTATCATTTCTTTTGTTCACTACCCTGTTCCTGGTGATTTGACCCCTGCCCGCACATGGAACCTATATGTTGAACATTAGTTGAATGAAGTCCACGGGATGGTACCATATTTGCTCCATTAGCGACCATACCTTCATTTTATTAAGCATAAATAGGCAAATAATAACACTCTATGTAGATATTTTGGAACCCTTTTATTAGCCTTTCTTGATAAGAGATTGTTTACCAAATATCTTTATAGAGCTTGCAGCCTTTTTATAGAAGTATGCTGGATACCCTGAGGACACAAGTATCTTCTAGAAGTTTACTATTAAACCAAGTATATGAGGCACCAGGAAACAGGCCATTTTGAGCTGAGACAAATAAGGAGGACTTTGGAAAGGAAGAGCTCAACCATATGCTCCATGTTGGAGAGGAGAGGCAAAGGGTTCTAGGGATAAAGAGAAGTTTTTGGTGACAGTGGGAGAATGGGTGGAAGAGGAGCATGGCTGAGTGAGGACATCTTTTACAGAAGTTGAGGGGACAGTTGTGTGAGTCCTGGACATGTAGGGGAGGTGCAGAGGAAGACTGCTTGGGTGCTTTTATATTTTTCTGAAATGCAAGAACATTTAAAGAAAAACATGCTTTTGACAAATATAAATCCTTGTTGTCCCCTACAGATGTCATTGGTCTGGGATGAGGTCCCCTGTTGAAAGAATGGAGCCACAGTGGAAAATTGGGAGTGGCAGAAAGGAGAATGGGGAAATGGATGGGCAAAGGGTGGAGACTCCTGCTGTTGGGACCAACCCACCTCTGCTGAGCTTCTCACCATGTCTCCCCTCCCTCCTCTCCTGCTGCTTCCCTTTCTTCCTCACCACAGACTCCTCCACATTATTCCATTCAGTCCCAGTATTTCTGGCCCTGGTGTTTCTACTCCTTATTTGGGCAAATGACATCTCCGCCTGTGTGTCTTAACTGTCCAGTGGACAAGTTACTTGTGTCATAGAGTCATGAGGTGAAGAGTCCCTGAGACAACACATAGGAAACACTTTCCATAAGGCCTTGAAGAGAAGACAGTGCTCAGTCAGTGAGCATGTAGTGTGTATTTCTAAGCTCATGGTATTCTGCCAGGTTTTATAATGATACAAGTTTAATGTCCCCTCTTCTGAGTTCTCTGAAGGTTCAATTTGGATCTTAAGCATTTAGCATTGTACTTGTTCCAAGAAGTCAGACTTTTGCTTTAATTCTTTTTGTCTGCCACAGTTCTGTTGTGGACTCTTCATTGCTCAGGCATGGGGTAAGCAAATTACAGTCAGTGGGTGACCTTCACATCCTTATCTCTTCTGCTTGTGACCAGAGGATCCCAAGGGTCCCACTTGCGACTATGGCTGATGGGACTGGAAGTGTGAGATACAGCGTGAACATTCTTCCCCTGCTTCCTGTACTTGCACTGCACTGTCTTCACTAGATAAGTGATCTAACGAACTAGACCCCAAATTAGTTTTATGATCAGAATTAAGATGAGGACTAAAGAGGGAAAGAGGTCCTTTTTATGAGAAAGGAACACTGCCATGAAAATAAACAGCAAAGAGGCTGAGGTGATCCATGGATGCTATAGAGGCTTCAGGCAGAGGAAATACAGACAGGAAATGGTGAAGCTGTGTTTTCTACAGAAAAGCAAGGCTGAAATCTTGAATTTGATAAACTAGACCTGTGCTCAGTCTGTTATTTAGTAATTTCAACACTTACTTCAGTTTTGTTGTTTTGTTAGAAATAGTATAATGTAAAATTAAAAGGCAAATCTTTATATAGTTTTAATACCCTGTGAATGGTCAATGTTGGACTGTGTATAAGACCCACCCTTCCTTCCTTCCTTCCTTCCTTCCTTCCTTCCTTCCTTCTCTCCTCCCTCCCTCCCTCCCTCCATCCCTCCCTCCCTCTTTCCCTTCTTCCCTCCCATCCTCCTTCCTATCTATTTCCATGTCTCTGTCTTTCTCTGTCTCTCTCTCTCAGCCTTATTTATGGTAAACATGCACTGTAGCACTTTGCTATACCCTCTGCTTGAGTTTTTCTACTCGGTTGTGTCAGGTGTATGTTTGGTGGACGCCCTTTGACGTAACACAATGTCCTCTATTTCTAGCGATTGTGGATGATGAAAGGCTGTCTGCAGAGGAGATGGATGAGAGGAGACGGCAGAACATTGCTTATGAATATTTGTGCCACCTGGAGGAAGCCAAGAGGTAAGAGCCAGGCTTACTCTATTTGTGCATCTTCTTGGAAGTAAGCTTTGGGGTAGGAGTGTGGGATTTGATGACCAGAGGTACCTGAATGGGTTAGCAGTTCTAAAGAGTTACCACAGTTGTGGATGGCAAGGGAGAAACTCTTACCTTCCACCAGTGATTAGACTTGGCTGAATCGCCCATGCCAGGTCAGTGGGCTGGGGAGTGACACTCCCACACTGGTTCCAGTATTCAGTCCCAGCTCGATGTGTATTGCGCTTACCTGTGCGTGTGCTGCTATACTTTTACTAACTCATTTGCAGTCTTGTTGGTAGCAAGCTAATGAGAGAAGAACCTGGTTTTTCATTTTTTTCTTTTTTTTTTTTTGCAAATGGTCAGGCAGAGTTGAGAAGTTGCTAACACAGCCAAAGGCAAGGCATGAGGCCAGCAATTGTTCCTTTATCTTTCCCCAGAGCCTCCCAAGGAGCCATTGGTCAAATTATAGATTATTTCAAATTTTTCGTCTCACTGACTTGGATTTGGGGAGCAGCAATGACTTAAATCAAGTTCCTTTTCCCCAAGAGTGTCCTGAGGTCTTTTACTCACTCTCATCCCAATGAATAATAGTATATGGGACTGAAGTCCGTTGGTCACCACGCTACAGGGAAGGTTTATGACTGCAATCTCCTTTTTAACCTATGGGTGTGTGACCACTTGTCTCTAAAATCACATTGACGCTTTTAGACTCTTTAGATGAAGTAAATGTTGAGGTCTCCAAGGAGAAAGTGAAGATAAGGAGTCCCAAGTGCAAATACTTTATCAGAAGGATCCAGAAAACTTTGTCTCTGGCTGTGTGAACACTGCATTGTCCATAGACCATGAGTTTGATTTAATGCTTTGTGTGACAGTGCTGCACATTGGAGCAACGTATCATCCCAAGGACAGATGAGATGTTCCATTATCTGTAGAAAAGTAAACATTTACTGAAATGGTTATTGGCATTAATTGTCTCTGGTTACCGATAAGTAACTGACTATAGAACTAGAGTGATGATGATTTTAAGCAGCATTTTGTAGGATTCTAATCAGTGACACATGTCCTAATTTGGCATCAAAATTGCTTTACAGAGGGTTTCTCAGTGTTGTTCAATATTTTAACAGCATCATGAAGCTTTTCTTAAGCCCTAATGGTTAAGTTTTAAAGATTGTTTAACATGTCTGTAAAGTCTACAGATAGGTCAAAGGACACTAAAAATTCCCTTCCACTCTTAAGATTATTGAAAACATGCTTTTAGTTAAACTTTTGCTAAAAAAGTTAGATAAGGAAAGTGATTCATAGACATTCAAAAGAAATGTGCATTCAATGAAAAAGTTCAAGACTTAGTGGAAGTGCCCTTCCTTTTCCTAGTGTTGTATGTGTTGCATTCTAGACTTTTGCCTTCTGTTTTTTTGTAAGTGGGGAAGCATGTCATTTAGGGGCAAATGACGTGTGATTGGATGTTGGTAGATCTGACTTCCTGGCTTCAGCTCCACCACTTACACTGTGGATTCGATAGCACTTTAACCCAGGAGGAAGTTGTTTTGCCCTTCTGTAATGGCATGGTAAAGATAATACCACCACTTTCCCTACCTTCTCCTTGTTTTTTTTCTCCCACTAAGGATCAAGTAAAGAGGCTAAAAATATTCTGGAAAATATGTTGCCAGTCACTTCTATGGTGATCGCATAAATATAGTTTTTTCTCTAGTATATCAAAGTGGTATAGGTGTAACTTGGAAGCTGTCATATCCTCAGCATTTTTGAAATTTGGTAGTTGAATTTTATTTTAGAAAGTCATAACAGTGTCCTGTCCCCAAGTTCTTTAAAGAAAGCTTCTTCAAACTTAGCTTCTTTGAAAGAATACACTATAAAAGTAGAGTTTTCCCTCTAAGACGGCTTTTCACAAATTTATAAGAGAAGATTAGATGTCATATGTATATATGAATCATTTATTAAGATATAAACACTTTCAAGGAAGCTGAGTTTTGGCCACTGAGTGTGTAAAAGTGATGTGACTACTACTAGATGCATGGTGTTCTGGGATTTAAGAGAGCAGAGTGTACAGGGAGCTCAGGTCCTGAGCTCCAGGACAGAGTAGTCTCTGTCCAGGTTATTTGACAGGGTTTAGTTCATGATTTTGCAGTGTTAGTTCCTTAGGGATTTGTTGTGTTGGTTTTATAATTGTGTGTGTGTGTGTGTGTGTGTGTGTGTGAGAGAGAGAGAATGTGAGAGAGAGCACAAGCATGTTGTGTAGTTGCGAGAGAGTTACTAAATGGGACACTTGTGTATATTCATCCAGGAATGGCTTCTCGTTTCTGATTTCATTTGAAATGACTTTAACGTATTTTAATTAAAAATGTATTGGTCCTACCTTTATGCTCCTTTTTTTCTTTCTGGAAGTAAAAATTAGAATATATCTGGTTTGTATGTACTGTAATTTTGAATTTTAAAAAATTTAGAAGTGGAATATTCCAGTATGTCTAATTTGGGTTTTATTAATTTTAAGATTCTATGATAATATCAAGATACTTAAAAGTTCCTTTATTCAAAGGGGACAACAGTATCAACTTTACAGAAATAAAGAGGATTATAAGACAATGCTATAAACAAGCACATGCCAACAATTAGAGAACCTAGATGAAATGGACAAATTCCTAAAAGACACAGACTGACAAAAACTAAAGTGATCAAAAAAAAATCTGACTAGACTTAGGATAAATAAAAAGATTCTTGGTAAAAAACTTCCCCAAATCCAAATGACTTCACAGTAGAATTCTACTAAGTGTTTAAAGAATTAACACCAGTCATTCACAAATTATTGCAAAATATGAGAGGAGGGAACTCTTTGCAAATCATTCTACTGAGACCTGTATTACCCCCAAACCCAAACCAGGCAAAGACATGTGAAAAAATGGAACTGTTGCTGTAGCTCAGTGTAGAGTACTTGCCTTGCATGCATGAGTCCCTGACTCATGAGTGCACACACACCCCCTACATCCCACACCTCCAACACCACCGACAAAAAATTAAAGACCACCATCTCTTGTGAGTAAAATACAGAAATCTTCAACAACATATTAGCAAATAGAATCCAACAATATATAAAACAGATTCTAAACTATCCAGTGGGATTTATTCCAGGAATGCAAGCTTGGTTTGCCATCTGAAAATCAATGTAATAGACTATATTAACAGACAAAATCCGTGATTATCTCATTAGACACAGGAGAAGCATTTGATAAAATCCAACCCCCTTTCTTGATTTAAAAAAACAAACAAACTCAAGCTGGAGGTGTGACTCAAGCAGTACAGTACCTGCCTAGCAAGCCTAAGGCCCTGAGTTCAAATCCCAGTACCGCCAGAGGGGAGGCTGGGTGGAGGAGAGACTCAATAAATTTGAAATAACAGGAAATTTAAACCCAATTAATGGCATCTGTGAAAAATTCATATCTAACATATGTATGGTGAAAGAATGGATGTTTTCTCCCTAAGACCAGGAATGAGATAAGGGTGTCTGTTCTTACCTCTTGTATTCAACAATATAGTAGAGGTTCTAGCCAAGACAATTGGGTAAGAAAAAGAAATAAAAGGTGTCCAGATTAGGAAGGAAAAAGTGAAACTATTTTAAAATGACATCACGTGGATTACAGAAAACCCACAGGAATTCACTCAACAGAATTATTAATGAAGTCATCATAGTTGTAGGATATCCTAAGAATGTGTAAAAGTTAACTGTGTTTGTCTACAATAGAAATGAGCAATCTGAAAGTGAAATTAAGAAAGCAATTCGATTTAAGAGAGCATCAAAAAAAGAATAAGATACTTAGAAATAAAATTAACAAACGAAACTGAAAGCTGTAAAACATTATTGAAACATTTAAAATACCTTAAATAAATAGACAGACACCCCTTGTTCATGAATTTGAAGACAATATTAAGAAAACAGTGTCTCCCAAGTTGATCTATAGATTCATTGCAATCACTAGCAAAGTTCTAGCCACCTTTTCTTAAATGCAGAATTGACAAGCTAATCCTAAAGTTCACATGGAAATTCAAGGAATGCAGAATCGTCAAAAGAGTTTTGAGGAAGAACAAAGTTGGAGTACTCATATTTCCCAGTTACAAAATTTACGTAGCTACAGTACGTAGTGTGGTACTGTCACGAGAATAGAAAATATGGGTGAATAAAACGGGATTGAGAGTCTGAAAGAAATCCTGCGGCTCAGCTGTTGCTCAATGACCTGATACCCAGTACCACACTCACACAAGGGTCTTAACACTTAGGGCAAATTGATTGTCATCATGTGAATCAAGGTAAATCAATGGCAGAAAAATAGTCTTTTTAACAAAGGATGCTGGGACAACTGAGTATCCAACATGGGTAAAAATGAATTTGGACTCTACCTTACATCATATGCAAAAATTATCTTAAAGTAAAGCATTAACCTAAATGTTGGATCTAAAACTATAAATCTTTTAGAAGAAAACACAGGAGTAAACTTGTGATCTTGGTTTACACAATGGCAGCTGAGATCTAACAGCAAAAGCAAAAACACCAAAAGAAAAATAGATCATCTGGGTAAAAAAATAACCCATAAAAAACAAAACCTACTTTTGATTCGAAAGGTGCTCTAAAGTGAAAAGACAGTGTGTTTAAGGATTTGTATCCAGAATATGTGAAGAGTTCTTACAACTTAATGTAAAAAGTTAACAGCTTAATTTTAAAATGGACTACAGTTCTAAATAGATTTCTCCAAAGATAAGGGTGTGGAGATGCTGGAACTCTCACACACTGTTGGTTGGATTGTAAAACGGTGCAGCTACTTTAGAATGCTCTAGCTGTTCTTTACAAACTTAAACATATGACCCAACAGTTTCATACACTCCTGATTATTGAAAACCTATGTCCACATGACAGCGTGTACACAAATGTTCAAGGAAGCATTATTCATGTTAGTAAAAAGGTGGAGACAACCCAAACATCC